GGATCGAAGTTACAAGCTACAAAGCAATAATTTGAAAATTAATGATATAGTATGACTGAATGTCGTTGTTTGTGGAGTATGGAAGTTATAATACAATGTATCCTGCGACGGTATCTTTAAAGTGAGTGAAAATACAGCATGGATACACAGCATCATGATCATTTTGGAGAATCTCTCGCATTGACACAGAATTTCCAGAACTGGTTTGTTCTGCCTCGCCCACTATAGTTGAGGTGGTCAATATACAAGTAGCATGAATTGTCCGCTGCCAATAAATGAGAAGGTAGGTTTTGATTTGAAGTGCACTATGACACATGTGTGACCCTGACACATAGATTTCTTTGCACAAGAACGCGCCTACTTTCCATTTTTGGACGTCAATGCACATCATGAATAATAAATTAAAAGCAATGAACACAGTAACAGCCACAGTAATTTTGTGACGGACTAGGATTTGAAAGAAAAAAAGTATAATTATTAGAAAATTGCCATGGCAGATCAATTCTAGACCTACTGTAAAATCTGTATTAAAAGCTGCGGCTTCTATTAAAATGGTAAAATGCAACAGAGGGGATGCGGCTTCTATTAGAGCACCTACACATATGAGAAATAATGAAGTTTTTGGTTCTCAATTATTCTAATAGAATTGGTGTGACTTCTATTAGGGGTGCGGCTTCTGATACAGATTTTACCGTACTGGCATTACCTGGGTTAGGCTGTAAATATTCTGTGGTTCTAATCATAACATCTTCAACTGCTGCTTTTGTTGCATCAGTTTTCTGAAAATATAAAAGAATTTACAGTCAATAACTTTTCAGGTGGAATTTAATTAATTTTGCTAAACATCACAATTTGAGTTGACACAAGCAATTGGTTTTTAATGAATTGTCATAAATTACATGCATACAATCAGGAATGATCACTGGATTTTGTTTCCACTGATTTTCATGGGGTTTTATTTCCCTTTCGGATCCTCTCAGGAAAATGGGAAGTGGAATTGTTGTGTGGTATGTTTAGAAATACATGTAGGTATTGCATTCAAAGTGATGTTTGTTGCACCTTTCTACTAAGTAAATTATACATGTAGATACTATTTTACTCTGAAGGTATTTTCCTGTAATGACCTTTAAAGTTACGCTCTGAAATCCTGCACCTAAAGCTTTATTGAGGTCTGGGGACTGTATTACAAGAAATAATTGGTCTGAATTTACACAAAATACATCTACCAAAAATTTCAATGATTTTCGGATTGTCAAGTTGTTAGCAATCATTTCAGCTTCTACATTTCATTGCCTGTTAGAAATGAATTTGTTAACAGATTTTATTAATAATATTCCAATGTATTTGGATTCAATTCTGACTGTAGTAAATTCAGGACAATCGAAACAAGTTCAAATGTGAATGAATTCTCAGTTTTGTTCATCAAATCATGTTTACTTACAGCTTCAAACACCAGTAATTAACATAATTTCTGACCTTAATAAACTTTAAACAAACCAATAGGAATATCTCAGAATACAACTTAAAAATTTAACTAGTACTAAATACTGAGGTAAATTCTGAATCTGAAGTAGCCTCACACTTGGGTATGATACTGATTCTGCTTTCAGTCCAACAACGTAACCTGTTCATGTATATCAAATACTATATATACTGCTAAATTTCCATGATTTATCCGCTAAGCATGTCAGCCAGGCCACACAAATTACACAATTTTTACAAAGTGATCAATCAACAGTTCATATATACAAGTCAATGCTTGATTAAAATGCATCAGACAGTAAAATGTAATGTCTAAACTAACCGAATATAAACAAGCAAATCATAGTGTGTAACTCCAATATTACTGTCATCGCCATATTGTTCTGAACATCAAAACAGCAACATTGCAAGCTAAGTTGCTAAATGGTTTGCTATGTGCGCCTTGAGATCTTTACATGGTTAGAACAAGTTGAGTCAAAGCAACCTCAATAGGAGTTGTCAAACTAATAATGGGGGGACTTGGACACATTGAACATAAATAGAAGATCCTAAAACGATTGTCTTTCCATTTATTTTATTCAATTGTATAAATTTGTATATAATAAATTGCAAAGTTATCCAAACAAAAGTATGTACCGACACAGTATGAAATGTCAGGACACAGTCGATGGTGTGTCTGGTGCATGTGAGCGCATTTAGCCGAATGAGGCACCCTCATCAACGTGGTTTGAAAAGCCCAGTTCATAATCGTATATCGATCTTGAGACACGCATAACAAACTAGTCAGCAACTTAGCTGGCAATGTTGCTGTTCTGGTATTTGAAACAATATGGCAATGACAGAAGAAAGGCCAAAAAAATTACTTGTCTGGTTCCTATAACATAACAGCTAGTTAAATAATGTTAAATAATGTTTACAATGAAATCTTCCCAATTTGATCTAAATTTGTGGGGAATAAAATCAGTTTTTACTGAATTCTTGTATATGTGTTTGTTCAAATCACAAAAAAAATATGACGTGCACCTATAACCCAATATGTATGATCATCATACCAACTTTGATCCAAATTGACCTAGTCATCTCTGAGAAACAGCTCCGGACATGCAAAAATTACGATTTAGCACTTTTACATGAAATTTGGGCGTCAGTCAGCCATATTGAATTGAATCACAAAAATAATGATGGTGTAGTTGTATCTCTTAGTATACTATCTTTGTACAAAATTTAAACAGAAACATTCATGGCATTCAAGATAAAGTAGCATGGGTATCATGAAAAACAAGTGCAACGTGCAACTACAACCTAATATGTATGATCATCATACCAACTTTGATCCAAATCGGCCCAGTCATCTCCGAGAAACTGCTTGCGGACACATTTAGGTATCAGAAATTATAGCAAATTTTACATCCAAAATGGCCGCCAGTTGGCCATTTTTTCTCCGATCATAAAGTAACTTGACGCGCCTATGTAAGACATTATGTATTGTCTTCATGTAAAATTTGAATGAAATCCATCAGTTGGTGTCCGAGACGGACGTACGTACGGATGGACAGACGGAACGAACCCAAATTAATAGTCCCCGTTTTCAGACTTTGTCTGAACGGAGACTAAAAACCACTGAAGATCAGTACCAGCAGTGATAATAACAGTATGCGCATACGTTTTCGGATGCAGGTCACCTCACTGTAGATAAGTGTATAAAACAGTGTTGTACAAGTAGGTGCATGCCCTATGTA